CACAAGACATAATTCCTGCCATCAGAATTCCACCTGTGCCCTAGTTGTGGATCACCTACACAAAGGATGGGAACCTATGTCATAATGACCTGAACAGCAGGATCCTGACGGCGTCCTGACCTCAGGCAGGGAGGACAAAGAGAAGTTAGGTCTAGAGTAAAGAAGAACTGGGCTCCTCCTGGGCCTGCTGGACTCTGCCAGAGCCATCGCTCCTCTCCTGGGGAGACCTGGTTAAGTGACCATCGCTAATGCTGACAGAGGATGAACTCTGCACCTGGAACTTTTCCAAAGGCTTCGCTTGCTTTGTTGTTGTTTAGTTGCTTAGTCGTATCCAACTCTTTCACGATCCTATCGCAAAAGACTGTAGCCTGCCAGGCTGCTCTATCTGTGGGATTTCCCAGGCAAGAATACTGGAGTGAGCTGCCATTTCCCTTTCCAGGGGATCTTCCTGACCTAGGGATCGAACCCACATCTTCTGCACTGGCAGGCAGATTCTTTATCACTGAGCCACCAGGGAAGCCTGCTTTACTTGCTAGGGATTATTGATGTCCACAACATTCACATGATGCAATCCTTCCCTTTTTGTCACTCCTATTTTATTTACAGAGGCCTAGAGGGAGGTGACCCACCTAAAGTCCCCCAGCTAGTAAGGGGCATGTCAGGATTCAGCATGGAGGTTCGCAGCTCACGTGTCTAAACACCACCAGATAACCTGGCAAGCAGAAGGCAGCCTGGTTTTGCATCAAAAGTGCCAGCTTCAGGATGATATAGAGTGAGGATCTGATCAGGCTCTGTGAAGACACACCAGGGTTGTTCTGAGGACTGAGATCATATGTTTAGCCATCTTCTTCCTCTTTCTCCCTTGTTAAGCTTTTCCCTCCTCCAGTCCCACCTTTATCCACCTCTGTTTAACTTCCATATTTCTTTACCTTTGCTTTTCAGAGTTAGGGATGAAAAGCTAAGATCTTCCATATCTTGATCTACTCTTCTAATGGAATAGGAATTAGGGATGAATTATTAAATATATATGCATGTATATTTTATATACACATGCAAATACATATGTGCAAACACACATTTTGTGTGTGTGTGTGTGTGTGTGTATATGTAGGGATGGTTAGATCAATAGATATATAAGCCCTTTGAAAGCCTGAGTTAAAGATCCAACATTATCTCTTATGAAAGGTCCTTGATTCTGGTATGGCACAGTGGATGCTGGAAAGAAAAGTCAGTCACCTACTTAGCAACATGAGCCTAAAGTGCAATAAGTGTGGCAGGAACCATACTTTCAGCAACAATGCAAAAATGGGAGTGCTCAGTTTGGCTGAAGGAGTAGGGCAGGCTTCTCAGAGGAGACTGCATTGACACTGCATTGAAGGGCGGGCGGAGGACGCCAGCCAATGACGTGGAGAAGACTTCAGGAAAGGGAATAGAAGGTGCATACCGTGACAGGTTTTGGTCAAGTGCAGCTGTGAGAGGGCCTGGAGAGCTGCAGCCTGGAAGTGAACACGGGTCGGACACACTACCTGTTATTTCCTTTGATCATCTGGACAACGTACATTAATGTACCCATTTTACAGAGGAGGGAACTGAGTTTCAGGGAGGTTAAGTTGTTTGTCCTAAACCACACAGTTAAGAAACAGAAGCACTAAGATACGGCCAGTGCCACACAGTTTTCCACTTGAATATGTAGAGGTGAGGGAGAGTGCTGACATACTAAGAGGGATCAAGAAGACAGGAGGCTGAGTTTTGTGCTCAGCGTCTTTTGTAACCCCCAGTTGTTATGGGTTCAAGTGAGATTATGCATTTGTATATGCTTTATCTGAAAAGTGCATTGCAAATACGGACAGTGTCAGAACATGGGAATGATGAATTGAATTGAACCTAAGTTCCAGTGCAATAATGCAAACCAGAGGCTTTCAGACTCCTCAAAACTGGCGAGCAGTGAAAAGTGCATGACCTTTGGCATTAGACAGACCTGGGTTCTAGGGCTTGCTCTTTTACCACTTGCCAGCTGTGAGGCCCTGGGCACATGCATTCTTTGGGTCTTGGCTCCCTTATCTGTGAGATGGAGAGGCTGTGCCCAATGTGCTCCGAGGTCATCTCTTGGCCCCACATGGTGTGGGTCTGCCCTCAACCATTCAGCACAGCCAGGCTCAAATTCACCTTCAAGTTGTCCTCCAGTGGCCCCAAAGATAGCCAGAAAATCTCAGAAAAGGACACACAAGTTGACTACAACTTTAAAAAAAAACCCAAACCTTAATTGTTCTGTTTGATTTTAAAATTCGTCTATGCAAAAATCAGAAGATACTGAAAAACAAAAATATAAAGCCTAGAAATAAAATTTTGAGGACCCAGAAAAATCTAAGAATGAATATAGAGTTCATCTCGTCTGAGGCACTATTAACTCTTTGGTGTGTGTCACCAAATTTTTTAAAATAAATCAATATGTGTAAGTCAGTATTTAAAATCTAGAAACTCTTCTTGTATATAATCTCTCATTAGTTAAATATAAGGGATACTCATATAGAAATCATTTTTTTAAAAATTCTAGTTGAATTCATTTAAACAGTCAAAATTGTTTTGAAAAAATAGTGGAACATTTTTGGTGTCAAGATCAATCGTTTTATTGTTAACGTGTTTGTCAAATGGAAAGTTATAATCTTATTAGGTTATATAACTATTCTTAAAACTCTTTACTACCTTTCAAAATCAGTCAAATACAAATTAGTCAATTAAACTTGACTTTGTATCTTCAGCTTTAGAAGATAGATGTGCTAATCTCAGTATCTATGGATTGCTTTTTGAAAAGTTCACTCTCTCTATAGCATTCTATTCACTAAGAAAAACTGATGCAAGATAACACTTTGGGGAGGGGATATCTGGTGTATCAAACCTGCAGAGCCAAGCTGTCAGTGTCTGTCTAGAGCCTTCTGTCAGGAGCTGGAATTCTGCAGCTGTCTTCTCTTCATTCCATAAATGATCCAGCTCGTTCAGGCTGGGTTTAGCCCATTTCGGGAAGGAGCCTTTGATGGGTAAACCCCCAAGTGTACACTGGAGACTGGGGTTAAGAAATGCAAAAGGAGGTTTATAATTATTTATTTAACCCAAGCTCTGGTCCTTACATCTCTATGTATCAGTCAGGAGAAGACAGGTCCTGCTGTGATAACAAGCCTCCCCAATCTCAGTGTCTTAACACAATAACAATTTACTTCTCACTTAATGCTGTCATTGGTAGGCGGTGGACTCTGCTTATTTTAGTCCCTCATTGACGCAGGAAGCAGCGGCTTCATTTCAACATGTGCTTCTAAGAAAGGTGGCAAATTCTTAAAGCTTCCATCTGGAAGTGCTATAGACAACTCCCACTCACATTTTATCAAATAAAGCAAGTCACATGGCTACACCTAACTTCAAATGGGGGCTGGGAAGTGGACTCCTGCCATCTGATGGCCATTTTAGCATGAAACCAGCTGTGTGACCTCAGGCAATTCAGTTATGCTCTGAAGGTATCTGTAAAATAGGGGATATGTTCACTGGTTCACCGTTCATTCATAGGAACACAAACATTGGAGTCTGCTTACATGACTTCATTCTCAGCTAAATTACACACAACCCATATAATCTTAGTATCTGTGGACCTCAGTTTGCTTATCTGTAAAATGGGGATGATAATAGTATCCAGCTCACAGCATGGTTGTACCGGTACAATGCATGTATTACATAAGTTACATAAAGCAGATAGTGCTAAAAATAGTTCCAGACATATCATAAGTGTGCTGTGCTTGTTAACTTTATTATTCATGTACCATTTATTTAATGAATATTTATTCAGAATCTTCCCCAGTTATCTGAATACTCTTGTGAGGACTGAAGGAAAAACAGATGTAAATCCACAGTGCAAATGATGGGGTATTCACAAGAAAGCCTAATAGGAAGAAGTAGCATTTTTGTAGGACTGGGATTTATTTTTGCTTCCATTTACTGAGCTCCTAGTATGTGCTACTGTGCTCAGTCAATTTAGTTGTGTCCGACTCTTTGTTATCTATGGACTGTACCCCACCAGGCTCCTCTGTCCATGGGATTTCCCAGGCAAGAATACTGGAGTGGGTTGCCATGCCCTCCTCCAGGGGATCTTCTGACCCAGGAATCAGATCCATATCTCCTGCATTTCAGGCAGGTTCTTTACCCACTGAGCCACCTGGGAAGCCCAGTATGTGTTAGGCTCTATGCTAAATGCTTTCATAGCAAGCACCTACTGTGTGCTAAGCTCTACACTAAACGCTTTTATAGCAACCCTAAGAGGTAGGTTTATAGGTGAGGAAATTATGGTTTCCAGATGCTAGGTAACCTGTCCCAGGTCCCACAGATGGTGACTGGTGGGACCTTTCCAGGAGACAGAGCCAGGGTATGTCTGCCTCATATGATGATTTTGCTCTTTCTCCTGCATATCCTATTAAGAATCATCTGTTCACTGCTTAACCTGCTGGTTTCTCTACTAGATTGAAAGGTTCTCAAAAACAGAGGTGTTCCCCTTAATTCTTGGTGTTCTTATGTTGCCCAGCACCGTACCCGCCACATCATGCGGTGGCCATGAGAAGCAGGAGGAGGAGGAGAGAGAATTAAACCAAAGATCAGTGTGTTGGATTAAATCCCCCCTACCCGGCTGATAATCTTCAGAATGTCACTTCTCCTCTTGAAGCTCCCATTTCTTAACTGTTAACATCAGTTCCATGGGCCTTTCCATCTATAAAGGCTTCATGAGCCCCAGTCTTCAAACACTTATCAACTTAATAGATACTTATTGACTTGACAAGAAGACATGACCGTACTTTAAAGACTTTTTATTATCAATTTTAGGTCATGTGGCTTTTCTTTGACATACTTCAAAGTCAGAGAAAAAGCGATATTATCTAAGACACATCACATCTTCCTTTACCTGAGCACAAATTTTCCATTTGCCTCAGGTTCTGCCAAAAAAAAGGGGGGGGGGGGGCGGTGGATGGGAGGGAGAGAAAGGGGACGCAGCCAAGATTGTGGCGCTCATGAGCCCTCCTGCTTTGGGTCCAGAAGGAATTTCTCAAAGGCAGGCCCTCACTGGGTAAGAGCGTAGACCCAGCCTGACCTCTGGAGGAAAGGCCCCCTTGAGACAGTGATGCAGAGTCATGCACTCTAGGCTCGCCAGGGCTGCAGAACAATGGGTTCTGGACAACTCCCCCAGTCCTTCCTGCAGATACCAGCCTGTAGAAAACACACTTTGGGAGCCGCTGGTCAGGGGGGCACGGTACGTGCGGCTCTGCCCGGGAACAGCGGTGGTGGCGCAGCAAACAGCCTCTTTCTGAGGGGAAGTGGTGAGGAATCGGCTGGGCTCGTGGCCACCCCAGACGCCGGGGCTCCACTCGTAATTCTTCCTCTTCCTCACTCACATAATAACAGCTACTGCTGTCAAGCACCTACGCAGGGTGGGGACTGCTCAGCATCGTGTAGACCTTAAATTTTTAAATCTCATGTCAGCCTGTTAAAAATAGGTACATTTCCCCCCATTCTACAGAGAGGACCCCAAAGCTCAGAAAAGCTGCATCACTGGCCTCTGTTACGTTGGAAAGACTGTGACCAGGACCCATCCTCCAAGTCCACCCCTGAGGTTTCCTACAGATGAGAGGTCACCTCCAGACCTCGCCTCTCTCACTGGGCAGCTGGGCTCATTCTTCTGGCCCATCCGCCCACAGGGAGGACCCCAGGGTCCTGCCAGCGACTTCCTGCCCCGGCTGGCTGAAGACGTGTATACGGCAACACGACTTCCTGGGAAACTTCAGCGGCCCTGGTTTTCCGTGGGCTGAGTCATTGCAGCTTATCCTGGTGTTCTTAGCTGAAACAGTCAGAGGAAAGTAGCTGGAAACTCCCCCAGGTTTTACCTGCAAAGAATTTGTTGAAGACAATTCAGCCACATTCCTCAGGTTTCTCAGACCTCACCTTGCCCTGGGGAGGATGAGAAAGACTGGGAAGATGCACAAGGGTGAAAATGAGCCCTGGAATTAAGAAGGGCTTCCGGTGCCAGGCCAGGGAGCTGGTTCCTCCTAAAACACAGCCCAGCTAGCTGTGAGGGCCCAGAGACAGTAAGCCTTTGTCCAGCACTGCGGTCCTGTGGAGAGCTTGCCAGTCCCTGCGCCATGCTATCCACCCACCTTGTCAGCTAGCATCCAGCGCCTCCTCTGGGCAAGGAACTGAGCTAGGCACCGGGGACAGTAAAGAGCCCAGAGGTTAAGAGGCTGTTAGGCAGATCTGGATCAAAGTTTGGATATGCTGCTTGTTGGCTGTGTGACCTAGGGCAGGTTATTTGGCCTCTCTGAGCCTTATTTTCCTATTTGTCATTTATCAAACCTCATGAGTTTGTTGTGAGGATTAAATGAGTAATGTATATGCTCAGCATAATGCCTGACACGTCCTAAGATTCAAGTAATAGTAGCTATTTTATTATTGCTAAGTACAAAATCATGTCAGACTTTAATGTCTTCAGTGCAGTTCCTTGACATGCACAGAGCACCTGGTTTGTGTCAGGAGCCATGCTTGGCTTTGGGGAGATGAGGAGGTGGAAACCCCTGGCTTCCAGGGGCTCACAGGAGACAGTCCATCAATAAGTCATTAGGATACAGTGAGGGAACCGCAGCAGCAGAGATACCCAAGGAATGTTGTTGCTGTTTAGTCGCTAAGTCATGTCCAACTCTTTGTGACCCATAGCCTGCAGCACACCAGACTCCCCTGTCCTTTACTATCGCCTGGAATTTGCTCAAATTCATGTCCATTGAGTCAGTGATGCTATCTAACCATCTCATCCTCTGTTGTCCCCTTCTCCTTTTGCCTTCAATCTTTCCCAGCCTCAGGGTCTTTTCCAATGAGTTGGCTCTTCTCATCAAGTGGCCAAAGTATTGGAGCTTCAGCTTCAGCATCTCGGGGTATTAAGTGGGCAGAGACACAGAAGAGGGGTTAGTACAGGTTTCTGGAGAAGGTGATACCTGAACTGTGTACCAAGGAGAGTAGGAGTTAGCCAGGTGAAGAGATGGAGGGCTGACAGCCCAGGGCAGGGAGCAGGGCATTCCAGAAGAGGCGACAGCTTGAGCAAAGGCAGGTACAGTAGTCAAGGTATAGTGTAAATGGCCTCAAGGGAGGTGAAATGATCTAAGGTAAAAGAACTCAGGGCTTGATGTAGAAGAGCTGGGTTCCAGATCCACATCCTTCCCTTCCTAACTATTGTTTGCCAAGTCCTTCCCCTCAGAGACTTAATTTCCTCATCAGTAAAGCAGAGATTACACTAGCTACTTAACAGGGCTGACTCCAATCGCAAATGCTGCTGTGTTTACACAGTGACAGGTATGTTTGCAGCTGTGTCTCTTGCACTCAGCCGGGCGCCGGGTCACTTGAGTACTCCAAGACCTTTGAGCACTCAAGAGGGCATCACACGAGCTTAGCTAGCAGAGGACTCGGTGTGCGCTAGGCAGCAAGGTAAACACCGTGGGAGTCTTCTAGACCTGCGTCTCCATTCTTCCCTTGCAAATTGGTTCACCAATACCTTTTTGAAATTGAAAAGTGAAAGTCTGTCACTAAGTTGTGTCCGACTCTTCGCAACCCCCTGGAATGTAGCCCAGCAGGCTTCTCTGTCTATGGGATTTCCCAGGCAAGAACACTGGAGTGGGCTGCCATTTCCTTCTCCAATATATGTGCTACTATATGATACTTGTTTTCCTCTTTCTGACTTACTTCACTCTGTGTAATAGCCTCCAGGTTCATCCATCTCGCTAGAACTGACTCCAAGTCATTCCTTTTTATGGCTGAGTAATATTCCCTTGCAAAGGGGAGAGTGGGACCAATGGAGAAAGTGGCATAGACATATATACACTACCGTGTGTAAACTAGATAGCTAGTAAGAAGTTTCTGTATAACACAGGGAGCCCAGCCAGGGGATGATCTAGAGGGGTGGGGTGGGGGGCTGGGGGGATGGAGGGAGGCTCAAGAGAGAGGGGATATATGTATAATTATGGCTGATTTATGTTGTTGTAGGGCAGAAAACATGACAACATTGTAAAACAATTTTCCTTCAGTTAAAAAATAAATGAAGACAAAACAAAAAAAAACTCCCCAAACATCATAGGAGTCTTATGCAGTTAGGTTTCACACCCCAGAAGCTGAGAACCATCTTGATCCTCTCCTGAGTGTGCCCAGGCTGGCTGAGGGGGTTCCCAGTCCTTGGAAAATCCAGGGTAAACCTGGATGAGTTGGTCACCCAACAAATGCAACAAAGGAATTTACCTAAATATAATCCTGCTGCAGGCTGGTGGCCAGGCTGGAATTTGAACCCAGGCCTGTTTGCCCTTAGTACCCAAGTTTTTAGCCACTGCATTATTACTTAACCGATAAACGATGTCCTTTCAAAACAGAGGGATCGCAGAACTCTGATTCATTACCAAACAGACGGATAATCTTCCCTGTCTCTAAACTTACTAATTCTCCTTCCGCACAATGGGCCTGGCATTCAGTCTTGGGATATGACGCCCATATTTCGAATACTTCAAATATAGTCCTGCAAATGGACTGTAAACAGAGAGGGCAGTGGGGGTAGAAGAGGAAAGGGGGGATGGGATGAGGCCACAGCCACTAGCACCTGTCCTCCTGGGACCACGGCCGAGTGGTCTCAGGCTCTCTGCCCTGGTCACCTCGCTTCTCTCCAGGGCTGGAGGCATCAGATGCAAATACTTGGCAGGCCCACCCTGGGAGCCTTACAGTTGGACGGCAGCTGTGAAATGAGAGTCCAGGATGGAGAGCGAGCTGAATGGGGAGCAGAAGCCATCAGGACCTTTGCTTTCTTTTCCAAAGCACATTTGAAACCAGCAGCGCGCTGGTGCGAGGCCGGCGGCCCACGGCGCAGGATGAACTGGATGCCTGCTGGGCGACAGGCAGGAATTATGACACAAGGGCAAAGTATTATTTACTCCCTGGGAACAGGTGCTGCCCGGGACTCGCAGTCCTCTCTTGCCTGACTTCCCTGCCCACGTGTCCTCGGAGGCAGCTCCCTCCAGCACCCCACGCAGTCCCAGCCCTCAGTGGCGCTGCCTGCTTCTCTGACCCCTGCCCCTGGCGGCGTGCAGCTCACAGGCGCCCGGAGGATGCCATCGCTGGCCGGCTCCCGCCTGGGGACGTGAGCTTGCTGGAACCAGCTCGTTTTACATAAGCTGTTGCTGAAGATGTCAGGTGATAACAACTTTCGGCTCCAGCTAACCGGCAGCCGCCCTGTTTGTGCCCACGCAGATGCAACAGGCAAAGGGAAAGTCATGGAGGAGCAAAGGAGAAAAGAATCCTCCACGCAAGTGTCTTTGTGAACTGGCAAGTTCACCTCTGGAAAACTGTCCTAGGCTGAACCAAGATCGACTTTTTTTTTTTTTTTTTTTTTTTTTATGAGAGGGGAAACAAACAATCAGGCAGGCAAACTCCAACTACCACCAGCTGGTTTTTCCTCCCCTGATTATGTGTTATTTCCTTAAAGCACCCGTTGGTAAACATACAAGACTCTTCTGTTGATTCACAAAACAATACAGAAGGCGGTTAAGATTTCTTTGCACAGTTTGATTAAGGACAAATACAGAAGGGAAGTGAGTGAACAGAAGGCCTGGAGGTCTTGTTTGGCTCATGAACAGGACCACATGCTGTGTTCACCCTATGCCCTTCTTTGCAAACCCCATGACCCTCAAAACACATCGGTGCCAACTGTGAACCAGCTCCAGGGATTCAGAGAAAGAAAAGTGCTCTAAACCTGGCAGAGGAAGGAAGACAAATATACAGATAATCACAACACATGGCCCAGGGTGGTGGGGGCCATGAGTGAGGAAAAACATACGCTGTGGATTAAGAAGAGGATAAGGTTGCGTGTGGTTGAGGAGCTCTGGAGAAGATGGCCACATGGTTCCTAGTTCAGACCCTCATGCTCTCTACTGGAACAAGAAATTGCGTCTTCAACAGCATTCTACTTCCAGGCTTGCCCCCACGCCAACACATCTTGCAGTTTGCTGCTAGGGGTGTCTTTCTAACTTAGACACAATCCTCCTTTCATTTAAAACCCTTTATTGGCTCTGATCACTCTAGGATAAAGGCTAATATCATCAGTTAGCCTCTATCTCCCTCCCCAGCCTCATCTCTCAAACTCATCTTTTCAAACCATTTTTCACTCCAGCAGTGTTGAGCCTTATATCATTTGCCCTTCCTTAGATTGCCTTCCTAAACTGAACTCCTATTCATCTGTCAACACCCACCTTCTGTATGACTTCCTCACAGTATTAGTCATTCTGTCTTCTGTGCTGTCTTGTTCGTGTTATAATTTTGTGACTTAAAATGCTTTACTTTCTTGCTAATGTCTATCAAAAGACTGGAGCTTCTCAGGGTAAGAGTCATATATAGTTCAAAGTTGTAGCCCTGGCATCTAGCACAATGCCTGGCACTTAATCATGCTCAACACACGTTAGTACCTTTCCTTTCCACCAAAGGCAAGTTGATGCCCTACTTGGGGTTGGCTGTACCTAAGGTACTGAGTGTCTATCTTCTTTCTTCTTGGGGCTTTCCTTCGCAGTCCTCACCACACCTTTTCCAAAACTTTATGTTCCCTCCATCTTTAGCACCTTCCTCCCCTTGCCAGGGGGACCAAAAAAAAAAAAAAAAAAAAAAGGCCTGATCTCAGGTGTCAAGGGAAGATAATTAAAACTCTCCTAGTGATTTAGTTTGATTTGTTCTGTCTCCAGCTCACAGCCTGTCCCTCATTAGTGAGGTATTAAAGGACTCCTCAATCTGGTGGGCCAAAGAAGAGGGCCCAAAAGAAAAGCGATTAATCATAATTAATCTTCTGTGTCTCTCAGTGTACCAGTTCTTTTGGTCT